AGTTTATCTTAATTCAGTAAAGTTTATCTTAATTCCATAAGGTTGTTCAAGATATTACAGGATATTGTCAGTCTGTCACAGCTGCTGCACATGTTGTGTTAGTGCTGCAGATACTTAGGATCCTCAGACATAGGAATAAGGATATAATATATCCAAGAGATGATCATTTCCAGATTTCACTCTCCTGAGCCTGTATAAATTGACATACCCTTTTATCTAGACCTCCCCCTTTCTTCTGTAACTCTCAAAGCTAAGTATCTAATGTGGTGATACACTATGCCAGTGGTTCTCAATCAGCGGTACACAGAGGTCTTCTGGGGATACATCAACTCATCTAGTTTTACAACAGGTTACATAAAAAGTACTAGCCAAGTCAGTACAAACTAAAATTTTATACAATGACTTTTTTATACTGCTCTATATACCATACACTGAAATGTAAGTACAATATTTATATTCCATTTGATTTATTTTATAATTATATGGAAAAAATGAGAAAGTAAGCAATTTTTCAGTAATAGACACTTTTGTATTTTTATGTCTGAGTTGGTAAGCAAGTAGTTTTTAAGTGAGGTGAAGCTTGGGGTATGCAAGACAAATCAGAGTCCTGAAAGGGGTACAATAGTCTGGAAAGGTTGAGAACTATTGAACTACACCACCAACTTAAGTCCCTTATACTGGCAAAAAATGATTTCTGAGGCCCCATTCAATTTACTATTCTTAGGAGTGGCCTTACCTCAACTTTAAGAAACTAAGATTAGAGCCATGACAAGTGGTGCTATTATCAGAAATTTAGTACAGTATGTCAACATGTGACAATAAAATATTTTGAAAATGTATGATATGAAATGCTAAACATTGCTTTGAAATTTTTCTGTACATAGGATTTTACAAAATGACATACCATTCCATATCAGAACAAAAATCTATCTAGTATTTTAAGCTGCCTCAATCTGTTACCTCTGCCCGTCACTGCAGAGGAAGGAACAAACTATCATAATATGCTTCACCACCGTGCAGCTTACCTCCTTTAAGCATATATACGGTTGAATGTAAAAGTATATACATAAATCTATTATCTATATTTACTAGCCTCACCATCACCTATCTATTTAGCTTGTTAGTGTAGTCATCCCCATTGTATCTAATCCCCACATTAATCATCATAGCCCTTAAATTATTTAGTAAACTAACCAGTATTTAAACAACTTTTCTATTTATGATGAACTATGCTTCATATAAAACTAATGTATTTCTAATCAAACAAGCTGAGTATAGAGCCATACCTGATTTAACCATAAGGTTACTGGACAGCTGGCATTCCGGAGGGGGAACTGTTGTCACATTAGCGAAAGTTGCAATTGCAGTTGTAGGAGCAGCAGAATTGTTTTCCACTGGAGCAGGGGGGAGCCTAGTTGTTTTCGCTGATGCTGTAATAGATGTCAAAGCTGCTGTAATTGTCAGTGGATATGCAGTTGATGTTTTGGTGATTTCTGAGCTTGTGAATTTCTTGGTGTCAGGTACTGTGGTTTCTATCTGTCTTTGTGTGTGTGTTGTGGATGTCAGTGTGGAAGCTGTGACTGTGCTAACTTTATTGGTTAGAAACATAACAGTGGTGTGGGGGGGTGATGTAGGTGTGTGTCTTGGTGCAAACGGAAAGTTTGTATGTGCTAGTACTGTCGATGTCATTTTTGAGGCACTGTTATTTTTTGCTAGTGTTGATATCAATGTGCTTAATGCTGTCACAGACAGCAAGGGTGCATTTTCAGTGCCTAGAGAAAAAAAGGACGAAGTTGGCGCAGATTTTCCTGTTACTGATTTTGCTTCTGAAGTTGCTACTGTAGGTATTGCACCCGCCGACACTGAAGGTAGCACTGTAATGACAGAATGGGTAAAGTTGGTTGTTGGCAAAAAAGCAGAGGTTATTTGTGTTGGCGATGCATGGACAGAAGTTATGATGACTGACTGCAAAGCATTGGTGGTATGTGTTTGCGATGGGGTGCCACTGGTAGATTCATTAGGTACAGCAACTGTAATTAGAATATCACCTGTACCATTTGCGTGCCATGTCTCTGTACTAAACGTAGCTTGTTTTTGAATAACGCTAGTCAAGTGACTAGGTGGTTCTGAAACAGAGCTGTTTGTAAAGTCTGTCAAATTTCCAGAAGTCATGTATTTTTTTGTAGTTAGAATAGATATCGGTGTTGAACTTGAAGATTGTTTGGCTACTGGAAAGGAAGAAATTGTTGGTTGTGTACCACTGATAGAACTAATTTCATTATTAGCTGAGACAATCAAATTGTCAGTGAATTGAGAAGCCAATGGTATCTCAGATTGTGTTGTGTATAAGGCTTTTGTTGATGAAGAGACATTTTCACCATGGGTTGTCTGAGATTTCAGAGTGCTAGAAGCAGTACTTGTATCATCAGCTGCAAAATCCTTCACTGTAGGCAAATACAGATGGGGGGATATTTCAAAGTTTTCAGTGAAGTTAGTGTCCCTGAGAGTGAAGAATTCAGTAACATTTTGAATTGTGTCAGTATCTTTTTTTGACTGTGCTGCAGGTAGTGCTGTAGTGGTAGCATGGGACGAATACTGAACACTAGACATTTCCAGGGCAGATGAACGTATGTTAAATTGTGTGAAATTAGGAGACTTAATTTCAGTCAAAGGTGAAGTTGAAACATTTTGATTAGATGTTGCAGATGTAGATGTTTCTAAAGTTACAGAGATAGAAGCAGTTTGTTTGTTTGTAACATCATTTATTTGCGGTTGCAGACCTGAAATTGTTGAATATGGGGTGTGATACCCAGTTTCTAATGAAGAAGTGCTTGGAGAAACTTCTATTATTGGAATGTTGGTTGTTTCTTTTACTGACAGAACTCTAACACCAGCTGAAGTAAGCTCGGACGTAGTACTCCATTCAGAAGCTGAAACAGTAATTATAGGTATCTTTGTAGTATCTAAACTGCTTTCAGAGGCAGCATTTGAAATACTAGAGAAAGCTGATGATGGGCTGTATGGGGCTTCTGTTGCTGGAACAAATGATGGAAATGCATATAATTCTGAAGGCACAATAGTGGTCCATGGTTTTGTATCATCTGTGATTGAAACTTGATCAGTGGAAAAATCAGGTTTATTTAAAGCTGGTAGAGGGGCATATTCTATATGTGGAGTGACAATGGTGAATGCTCCTGTATTTGTTTCTTCATTTTCTGTTAAGTCTACAGTTGGACTTTCTCCATTAATAGCTGAAAGCTGTGAAGTTGTAGAATTATGAATAGCAGGTGTATCTTTAATAGTGAACACAGATTTTGAAAGGCCTGTATTGGGAGTGGGTAATGATACTGCAGATGTAGTAACAGAACCGATGATTTCTGTTTTCAAAATACTTTCACGCAGCATTGTTCCTGTTGTATGTTTGCTGGCTCGAGTTTCTGGAGAAACTCTGGAACGTTGAGATCCATAAGAAAGGACGTTGTTAGCGTGTATGTTAGTGTACACTTTGGCTGTACTACCTGTTTCGAAAGACTGATGGGATGCCTCTCTAACTGAAGAGCCATCAAAAGGTTGCAAAGTATGTTCAAAATCACTTGATAATATCACTGTGTTGGCTTCATAAACTGTATCAATTGCCTCTTTTCCAAAAACTTGACTGATTGACACTGTTGAGGGAAGGGACGAAATATTTATTAGAGGGAATGTAGAAGTGTTCTCATAGGCTGGTGTTGAGTTTGTTGCATTGCTAGTATGTGCTATAATATTAAAAGTATGATTTGTCACAGTTATTAAGGAAGATTCTTTATCTGTTGAATAAGGAAGTGTGGTTTTTCTGAAAAGAAAGTCTGATATACTTGTAGGTGCTGGTGGTGGAACTACTGCATTGCTAGTGCTTATTGCATCTGGAATAAATGTTCTTGGCACAGTAAAGGAAGACCTATTTTCTGTTGAATGGGAGACTCCCATTGGGCTATTAGAAGCTGGTGATAAAAATATTGCCTTGGTAGAACCCGACATGTCATTAGTTGATGTGGAAGACTGATGACTTGTCACTTTTGGTAATGCAGATATAGTGCCCACGGTATGAAAGAATGAAGTACTAACCATTGGAATCTCTGATTTACTATTAAAAGCTGGTGATGATGCAGCTGGGCTGACGACATTCTCTCTGTCAGTCACCACTGCCTTGAATGGCAGATTGGTGGGTATTGCTCCAGAAGAAGACACGTTATCTGTTGAGTGAGACAATGAAGTTCTTTCAGTAGGAAGCCATGACACCGTTTCAGAAGCTATTGGTAGGAAAGACTGAGAGGATATTACTGACAGAGAAGTAGGAGAGTGTGCAGATAGTAGGGACGTACTTTCTGAGGGTGACACTCTTCCCATTGTCTTTGTGGAATGTATCATTGTTGATCCAAAGCTATTAAGTGATGTGGTACCTGTGACCTCTTTGGGACCCCTTCTGGATAATGTGTGATTCACTATACTGGAATTTACAGCAGTGACTGTGCTTGGTGGATTATCTCTGCTTGCACTAAAATGAGAGTCAGTTGAATCTATGTGGAAGGAACTTTCAGTATCTGTGGATAAAGGCACTTTGGTGGGTAGTACAGTCAACTTAGAAAAGATAATGGTATGAGGTGATTGTATTACCAATGAAGAAAATGATGGTGATGGAACAGTTGCTAATGATGTTAGCTGAGATGGCACAGCAGTACTTGAATGTGTCATTGATGGCTTTGTGGACAATGTGGCAAACATATTGATTTGAGGCAAACCTGATACAATAGCTGTTTCATCTACATCTTGAGATGATGACCTCACTGGTGATTCAGCTGAAACTTCGGAAGGCTCCTGGGATGCACTATTTCCACTGCCTTGGTAAAGGGTGGGTGAAAAATTAGTTTGATCCATAGTTCTGGCGCCAGTCAGTGTTGTTTTTATTATCTGAAGCAAGTTTGCATTCTCCAATGTTTGTCTCATTGACATGTCAGCCATTGAGGAAGACTTAATTTCTGTTGAAGGCCATGTTGGTGAAAATATAGATCTCCAGTTAGCAAGAGACTCTGTAGAGGGGGCAACATTTGTTTGGTGTTGCTTGGTACCTATAAAACAATAATTAAAATGAATATTTTGCAAAAGGAGTGTTATCTTGATACACTATACCAGTGAATCTGAACAGGAAATGTTTAATCCTAGGTAAATGACTTATTTCTCTGTGTTGGAAGGACATAATGAATAAACAATCAAAGTTAAAAAATATGAACATGAGAAATGCAATGTGAGTAAACATAATTGTCTCATTGTTTCATTATACAGAAAAATAAAAGATAACGCTTTACTTACAGTGATAATACAAAATAATTACTGATATTGCTCATAAACTAGAATGGCTTAACCTACTAGGAAGCTAACTTGTTGTGCTTGAGACAACTTCTGATGTTATCATCTTCATACTGTGTCAAAATATTATATGCAGTGTAGTTGTAACCATGTTGGTCCCAGGATATTAGGGACAAAAGGTGGGAGAGATAATATCTTTTATTGGACCGGCTTCTACTAGTGAGAGAGAAGCTCAAATGCTCGTCTCTCCCACCAACAAAAAGCTGGTCTAATAAAAGATATTACCTCACCCACCTTGCCTCTCAAAATATTATGTAAGATGTTAGGGTTTAGAAGCAGCTATACAGAGGGAATGGATTCTGACAACCAAACATCACTGACTTAGCATACTGTACATTATGGGAATAGAGTCAAAATTGGTTGGGTTCCTCTATGAAGCATCTGTACATGGTCATCTTGCCAGCTCTAATAACGTGTGTAATTATAGGCAGAAAGGCAAGAAAATATAACAGGGATGAAATTGATTAGGGGGGATTAAAAACAAATGAGGAAATTAAACTCCTTATTTGATATGTGCAGATGTATAAAACATCTCTAGCACCAATTTATTTAGCATTCTACACCATATTGTTCCTACGCTTTGTTTTCTTAAAATGATTACATGGTAAGCTTAAAAATCACAATTTGGAAAACCTTACATTCTTTTTATTTTAATTATGACTCCATCAAGATCAAAATTAACATTTTGTTTTTGTTTTTCATGAGATGATCCATCAACTAAAGCTTATCATTGTCCTTTTCCATTTCACTGTCAGCCAGATTGTGACCCAGCCTATGTACCCAGGCCATAAGAGGGAGCAGACCCCTCCCCTGTAATGGGCATGGGTAATGATACTACAGATGTAACAAAACTGGTCCTTTCCTCGCACATACATACACATTGCTATGTGACTTCAACCAATGTTGGAGTAGATGCTACAGACCTCCTACTCCCCCTTGAAACCACTTATAAACTTGAAGTGATAGCTTGTAATTTTAACAGTTTTCAATACATTGCACCCCTCAGTCAAGTGGATAAGAAGTAGGCAGGGCATTGGCTCAGCTCTCCCAATAAGCCTGGCAGTGCAGCTGAGCCAGCCCGGGAGGAGGTAATCTACTACCAGTAGGGGTCAGTGCAGATCATGACACCGCTGGAATAAGCAAGGAACATGGAAGATATCATGCCTGTCTGAGGCCACTTACTGGGGATTGATGCTCCTGCAATCAATGCAGCTGGGGGTTGATTTATCAGGTCTAGTGAAGACATGCTAAATTGACCTCAGAGTGCTCTCTGGTCAATTCCAATACTCCACCAGAACAAGAAGAGTAAAATAAGTCAACAGGAGAGCATCTCCCGTCGATGCAGTGTGGTGTGAACACTGCAGTAAGTTAACCTAAGCTACAGTGAGTCCAACTACGTTATTCAAGTAACTGGAGTAGCGTAACTTAGGTTGACTTACCCTGGTAGTGTAGACAAGGCCTTAGGCTCCATTCCTTCTCTGTGCAGCATCTGTGCTACACATTGTTCTGTACACATACAGACAGGTCAGAATAGATGATCAAAGTTGTTCCTACTGGTCTTAAATCTGTACTTCTATTACTCTAGTCCTGTGTTTGGGTTCCAACCCACCATATATACAGATCTTCCATTCAAAACATTTTAACTACAGATACTCACAAGTGGCCGCCAAAGTACTGCAGAGTGAAAGGTAATTCAGATTAGTTTATTACTAACTCAATATTATTGTTTACCATATAGCAAACATCTTAATTTGAAAATTAAATGCAGAGACCAAACTATTTTGAAACAAGTATTTCCATTTAGCATTAACACACTAGTTAAGCTAAGTAATATCATGTCCAACCTAGCATTTTCACATTACAGGGATTAAAGACCTTTCCTCTTATCATATTGTTTAAGAATTGTATTGGATCAGGATGAGAAATGGCTTTGTTGCAACATATGTTGAGAGTAAGGCATCCAGATACAAATTATTTTAGGGAAGCAGCATACTTAATTGGAGTGAGAGAAAGAAGAGAATATTATGCACCAATATGAAATCCTCAGATATTTCCTAAATATAGGCAGCAAAATATTATATAGGGGAAAATTAGTTTAAATTATTATACGTACAAAGAGCTAGATTTTGCTCTTCAGTACAGTCCTGTGTCGGAGGTATTACATAAACCACACAATCCCAGGGGGAGCCCTACGAGGCAATGTGACTCATACAACCCTATGTCTACAATACAGATGTTACACCTATTGTTCTTCCCTCAATTGATTGAAAAATACCTTGCATCCACACACAAAAGGGCTTCCACCAATTTTCGGGGAAGCAACAATCACAAGCCACAAGACTGAAATGCCTGTAAGCTGCATGGAAACTTTTTAAAAACACCATAATAGAGGCTCAAATTAAATGTATACCTCAAATTAAAGAGAATAATAAGAGGACCAAAAAATTGGCACCATGGCTAAACAGAGTAAAAGAAGTGGTTAGAGGCAAAAAGACATCCTTTAAAAAAAAAAGCATGAACTCTTGCAAGTCAAGTGTAGGAGTCCAATGAGGCAGGCCAAAAAAGAATTTGAAGAGCAAATACCAAAAGACTCAAAAACTAACAGAAAAAATATGTTTAAGTATATCAGAAGAAGGAAGCCTGCCAAACAACCAGTGGGACTCCTCGATGACTGAGGTGCTAAAGGAGCACTCAAGGAAGACAAGGTCATTTCAGAGAAGCTAAGGGCTTGTCTACACTGGCACTTTACAGCGCTGCAACTTTCTCGCTCGGGGTGTGAAAAAACACGGGGGTGGAGGGATAGCTCAGTGGTTTGAGCATTGGCTCCCTAAACCCAGGGTTGTCAGTTCAATCCTTGAAGGGTCAATTTATAGGGGGGAGGGATAGCTCAGTGGTTTGAGCATTGGCCTGTTAAACCCAGGGTTGCGAGTTCAATCTTTGAGGGGGCCACTTAGGGATCTGGGGCAAAATCACTACTTGGTCCTGCTAGTGAAGGCAGGGGGCTACACCCCTCATGGAGCCAAAGCCTTCTGCATGATTTACATCAGGGGTCGGCAACCTTTCAGAATTGGTGTGCCGAGTCTTCATTTATTCACTCTAATTTACGGTTTTGCGTGCCAGTAATACATTTTAACATTTTAGAAGGTCTCATTCTATAATATATAACTAAACTATTGTTGTATGTAAAGTAAATAAGGTTTTTAAAATGTTTAAAAACCTTCATTTAAAATTAGATTAAAATGCAGAGCCCCGGACTGGTGGCCAGGACCCGGGCAGTGTGAGTGCCACTGAAAATCAGCTTGCGTGCCACCTTCGGCACCCGTGCCTTAGCTTGCCTACCCCTGGTTTACATTATACAAGACTCACCTACTGCTTTCTGAAGATGACTCCTAGAGGGAAACACCAAGAGAGAGATTTTTTTTTCTGAAAGCTTTGCTTTCTAGAACATCAGAATACATCAACATCAATCCATGTATGATCTGTAACATTCTCTCTCTTTCTCTGTTCCTTCACACTTGAAGGTTATCATTCTCATCAGCACCATACAAGAGATACTGTAGACTTGAGAGAGTGTCAAACTTAGATTATCACAGTTTGACATGTAGAGGAAAGTATGGCATAACTTAGAGTAGCAAAAAACAAATAAGAATATCATCTGCTATGGAGTCATCTGCTGTTTCTCTTCCACAACTTACAGCTACCCAGCTCCAGTCCTTTTCTCCTCACTTTAAAGTAAAGTATTTTTCTATGCCAGCTGGTAATTTTTCTTTTACATCCTTTGGTGAACAAAATCCCCCAGGCATCCACACTCATTCTGTTGAATGACTGGGGGTTTACAGAACTACTTACCAGGTGTTCTTTAGGCAGATTCAAAAGGCTGTCACACTGCTGCTGTGAAATTTCTTATGATTCCATCTGGCTACCAGTGCATTTCTAGAAACATCTCCAACTCTTACATAACTCACCATCTTCCATTAGCGAGTAGCTGGGGTACTCGGAAAGTGAGAGAATCCTCCCAATGTGTGGAGTTTAATCTCAAGTGCATGTACATTAGAGCAACCCCTTTCCTAGTTGAGCATGGATGGATTAACATAAGCACCTACCACTCTGAGATCAAGTAATATGCAAACAGAGACTCAAGTAATAAAAAAATATATAAAATGTGTATGTGAGTGGTAGGCAGAACACACCAAAATGGGACAGAAAGAAACAGCTGCAAAGACGAGGAAGGAGAAACAAAGAAGCAAAAATGAGGTGAGACCAACAAATAAAAATGCATGCCAGGATCCTTCATACAATGTTGCGGCAACACTTCCTTTGGAGGCTCCTGCAGGATTTTTAGTAGCAATTGGAGAGGAGAGGACCAAATCCCATCTTTGTCTATGACATAACTACACCTATAACTGGCTTTGGGGGAACCTGGAATACTTGTTATCACTGCAGATATAAAAGGAGCATAAATGACTATACTTCTTGAAATATAGTACGACACATATATCAAAGCTGTGTGAGAAGTTTGGAAGACTTATGTGTAAGGGGACAGAGTTATGGAAGGCTAAAAAAGCATGCAGGAAAAGCTTGAACTTAATACTCAGGAGATCAGTGCACAAATTTGAAGACAGAGCTCTGGGAAAGAAAGATAACCTTAGCTGTAGTCTTTTTTAATGGAGAAGATTTGGAAAAAATAGGAGACCAGGGGACC